TGGTGCATACTTGACTGTTTTATTTAAAATATTATTTAAAAATACATATGCACTTGGCTATTAGAACCAAAAAAAAAACTTAAAATGCTAATTTCGCGCATCTATAAATTGGATAATTTTCGGGTCGGATATTTCTAACCCGAACCCGAAATTTCGGGTCGGGTTGACCCGACCCGATTCGGAGCACCACTCTTGATACGAAGAATTAGGGTATCGTCCAAGATGCTTTAGAAAAAGCTTCAAAGGATTGCACAACGATAGTCATTGCTCATCGTTTATCCACATTCGAAATGCGACTAAGATTATTGTAATGAATAAAGTTATTATTGCGGAATCAGGTACACACAAAGAGCTCATGATAAAAAAGGTTTTTATTCTAAACTTGTTGAAACTCAACAGATTTAACGGGCTTTAAAGGATGAAAAACCCCTTAATATATTGAATCTCCACCGGAAAATGAAGTTGCTACATCATACACTATAAAGAAAATGGTAATCATCATACAATATCTTAACTTATCAATAATCAGATGTTGAAATGGGATTGAAACATAACGATCGCGATTATACTTCTTAGGAATTGTTCAAGAAGCTAGCAATCACCAATAAACCTGAATTGCTCATGCTTTTCGTAGGTATAATAGCAACTTTCATTTATGGTAAGTGAAAAAAAATAATTTAAATGCTGTATGGTAGCCCTTTAAAAACCAAATTTTTAGGTAGTGTAACGGTTGTGTTTGGGAGAGCGGGCGATTATAGTCAAATAGTGCCAATTTGAACTCCAACTGATTACGGGATTGGGGTTTATATAAATAAAGAAAAGCTATAAATCTGCTTTAAACTAATCAACCTGTAGAGCGAAAGCGAACTTAATATGATTTGTAGTATGATAATAATTAAAATGCATACATGAAAGAAAGAAAGAAGTATGAATTAAAATAATTCGGAAATGATATCACGAAAGTAATACTTCTTAGAACGGGCAAAAGGGGTATGATTGATTGATGATGATGATGAATGATAGAACTTTACAAGTACTTAATCTGAAGGGCGAGAATGAATATATTCGTGATCACGGAATGATATCAACGGAAATTGATATCCAAAGCGATTTATGATGCAAAATTGATATATAGACACTTTAAAAATAAATTATATCTTCTTTCAGCTATTTATAAAATCAGCTGATGCTTGTGATGCCAAAGGAGGTGGGGCAGTTTACTTTCACGTCTTCAATTAATTCTTTTCTTTAGGTGAAAACACTCCCAAACGAAAATCACGTGACCAAGTTCCAAAAGCATAAGAAGACTGTTATACCGAATTTCGAGTCTTAATAAGCCGTATCGAAGTTACAAGTCAATTCAGTCCGTCGAATTGAGTTACGAAAGGGTTTATTAAATTTAAAGTCGAAATTTTCAAACATTAAGTATTTTACATTACTACTTAATTACTATCATAAAGGACGTGGAACTTATCCAACTTTATTAAAATTTAAGGGCTTATATACATAAAAGTTTCTTTAAACGTTTACGCTCTATTCAAGGCGAATTCGTTTATTTTTAAACATACGCACTCTTTTTTAGGTGATTACGCTCTATTGTGAGCGATTATGCTTGCGGCACAAGATCTACAGAGTTGTGTAAGTGTGTATACGCGCTTTTGAGTGTTCATGTGTTTACATGAGATAATTCACCAAGCCACTATCAATTTCCTATTTAGTATAACTAATTAAATATTCCCATCGTGACTATACTACGTGGGTACTGTTATCAAAATAGAATTGGTGGGGGTAAAATAAACTATATACAAGAAGAAAATAAAAGTAAAACAAAATAGAATAATAAAATAAAAGAAATAAAATGAAGTAGAATAAAATAATCAAAATATAATAAATGAAAATGATTCGTTACATATACCTCTCCTCAACCTTGAGCTCCTGCGAAAGGAGTTAAGTTTAAAAGTGCATTAAGCTCTTGCTGAGCTAAACTTTTAGCTTCACTTTGTAAGGCGGCGAAGTCTTCTTTCCAAAGACGGTATAGAACGTAAGGGGTAATAGCTTGTGCTACAAAAAGATGAGAAGGACCTCGAGCCTGATATAAAGAATATACCTGATGTGCAATGATCAGGACATCATGATACTTGTGGGGCATTAGTTGTTTAACAACACTTTTAGCTTCATCCTTCCAAGCCTTATCTTCTAATAAAGAACTGAGAGAATAATATTGCGGTAGTTGACCTTGGTGGTGCAGGTTTCCCGAAGACAATTGGGAACAAACATGAGTAAATTGTTCTTCTCAAGTTGCTCCCATGGTGATTTGATTAAACAATTCCAGGCCTTACTTCATTGTAAATCGGCAAGAAACGAAGGCATCTTATTATGGAGTAATTGAGCATCACTTTTTCATTTCAACGTTTCTAATTCTACAACTTGCGATTGTTGATCTGAAAAATAAAGGACACTTCCTGCTGAAATAAAATATGTGCCTTCTATGCCGGCTTTTGACATCCGTGTTTTCAATGTGGCCAAAGTTTTCTTAATAGCGCCGAGGGTTTCCATCATAAGAGAGAACAAAAAAATAAAAAAATAAAAATAAAAATAACAAATCAAAGAAAAGGAAAAAAAAAATAAAAAAAATAAATAAAAAAAATAAAATAAAATGGTTATAGAATAAAGAAGGAATGAATTCTCCAAAATGGGCTTTTTATTTTTTACGACTATAACCCAAGAGGGTCTTACAAAATTCTTGTCGCGGCTGGTAACGAGACAACCAGTTCCCATGAATTTTAGCTTTAAGCACGTGTCTATTGAGTGTTCATAGTTTGTACAACCTGAAGGGCAGTACGTCATAAATATAATAGGGATCTAAATTTTGGGGTTCCAACTTTGAGCTATGCGATGTGGCTAAATCAGATCTATATAAAAGGACCTGATCACCAATTTCATATGACTCTACTTTATTTCTTTGTTCATAGTATTGTTTTTGTTTAATTTGTGATTTCTTGATCTTTTCACTTGCTATTTGACGTGCTTCCACTAATTTTCCTATTAAATTTTCTACCCACCTATAGATCTGATCTTGTAGCTCTTCTTTAGTTCCAGGCTGGGTTTGGTGCATCGTTAGATTAGTTTCTACTAGAAGGACAGGAGAGCGACCATATAATAAAAAGAATGGTTGATATCCAGTAGTATGATGTGGGGTTGTTCGGTATGCAAAAAGAGCTGGTGAGATATATTCATCTCATTCTTGATTAAACTGATTAGCACATTTACTAAGAATTCCACATAGAGTTTTATTGAATTGCTCAACCAACCCATTGGTTTGAGGATTGTAGGCCATGGATGTATGATGAGTAGTATTCATTTTTTTTACATAAGGCTAAAACAAGCTTGGGGCAAAAATGTATGCCTTTGTCGGATAATATTTCTTTTGGGCTGCCATGACAGCAAATTAGATCTAAAGATAAAGGTGGCAACATTTTTAGCATTGGTACTTTCCAGGGAACAAGCCTCGGGCCACTTCGTAAGGTACTCTGTAGCAACTACAATGTACCTTTTATTTGTTGACATTACTGGCAAGAGACCTACAATGTCTATTCCAACACGGTCGAATGGTTGTCCAATTTTGATTGGATATAAAGGTTCGCAAGTACTTGGCTTTTGCTTCTTTTGGCATATATCACATGTTCTAATATAATTTTTAATATCGTTGCCCATTTGGGGCCAAAAATAGCAATTAGCAATTCTTTGATAGGTTGTATAATATCCAAAATGTCCAGCAAGAGGGTCATAATGCATACTAAAGAGTATAGGCTAGACCTCATCTTTCTTTAAACCCATAGTGGACATGTGGGATTTCGGAGATTAACTTTATATAACAATCTGTCTAAGACCAAATAATGACAGGTCTTATATTTTAAGTTTTGTAGTTCTTTGTGAGTATAATGAGAAGATACTATAGTATCTTCAAGATACTGAAGGTAAAGGGTATATAATTGGGGGTCCATGCCCACTAACTTGGTCTAATTCGTGTTTGAAAAATTTTAAATGATTTACTTTTTTTTTGAAAGAAGAAATGGGTAATATAAATCTTAGGAAATAAAAAAAATATTGATAATGCCAGGACACCGTAATCTGGACTAGATTTGCAGATTTTTAAAGAAAGTACAAAGAATTAAAAATAATTTTTATTTTTATCGGGTTCTAAAAATTTAATATATATATTTATTCTATTTCTTCTTTTTCTTAATTATTTTGAACTATGAGTGTTTTATCAGTGGCGACCTATTGAATTCAGAATAGGCTATCAATATTAGTATGTTTTCTTCTGGGTTTGTGTACAGTGGTAAAAGAATATTCCATTAAAGTCATGACCCAACGAGCAAAACGATTTTGAGGTAGTTTAATATCAAAAAGATATTTTAGGGCTGAATGATCAATATAAAGAATGAAACAACTTTTATGTAAGTAAGAACGGAAGTAGCCTATAGCCTATACAATAGTGAGGCATTCTTTTTCCGTCACTGGGTAGTTTTTTTCAGCCAGGATAAGACTTCGGCTGGCATAGGAGATAACTTGTTTCCGTTCTAAATTGTCTTTTTGAAACAATATAGCTCCCAAGACTATATCAGACACATCAGTAAACAACATGAACGTCTTTGAAAAGTCTGGGTAAGCAAGGATAGGGGCCAAAGTTAACCTTTTTTTTAAATTTTCAAATGCCTTTTGTTGGTCTTCAGTCTATTTATAACTAGTATTCTTTTTTAATAGCTTATTAAGAGAAGCAGTGATGTTGGTAAAGTTTTTAACAAACTTCTGATAATAAGAGGTGAGCCCTAGAAATCCTCTTAATTGATGCAAATTTCTTGGGATTGGAAAATTTTTAATAGCTTTTATTTTGGCCGGATTAGTAGCTATACCATTTTTATTTACTATATAACCTAAAAACTTTAATCTTTGATGTCTGAAGTAATATTTAGCAAGCTGTAATTTATGACCAGCCCATTCAAGCCTATCAAAAATTAATTGAAGGTGATATAAATGTTCCTCAAATATTTTAGAGTAAACACTTATATTGTCCAAGTAGACAACGAAGCATTTCCCAATAAGGTCTTGAAAAAGAAAATTCATTAGCCGCTAAAAAGTGGCTGGCACGTTAGTTAGCCCGAAGGGCATAACATTAAACATATAGGTACCAAAAGGTGTAGTAAAGGCCATTTTAATTTTATCATTTTCATCCACTTCAAGTTGCCAGTAACCACTGGCTAAATCCAGAGAACTATACCATGCGAATTCATTCAATGCATCAAGTAAGTCTTGAATTCGCGGGAGGGGTAGTTATCTTTTTGGATAACAGAATTAAGCTTACGGTAGTCTACGCAGAATCGCATTTGACTATCTTTTTTTGGTACCAAAACTACTGGCGAAGTCCAAGGGCTTTCACATAGGCAGATAATCCTTTCTTTAATCATTCTTGCAATTTCGTCCCTAATAACTTTCTTTTCAGAAGGAGAATGCCGAAAAGGATATTTCTTTATAGGCAAAGCGTCACCCACATTAATATAATATTTTATAAGATTAGTTCGACCTAACATTTCACCTTCCCAGGCAAACAAAGTCGATTTCTGTTCAAGAAAATTTTGAAGAGCCTTGGATTGTTCTTCTTTCAGACTTCCTAGGTGATAAGTATTTTTCTTTATACATTCTTCACTATAGTAATAATCAAATAAGTCATAAATTGGATTTTCTTTTTCTTTTTCATTTCTCTTAATGGAAATGAACCAGCGAAGATCCCTCTTAACACCTTCTTCTCAAAGGTACGCATTTCCGGCAATATCATAAAAACATTCGGCTATAGTAGGTCTATTTTTTTCTTTATCTATTTTCATTTGTCTTCTCGTTTCATCAATAGTTTCATCAGCGTCAGAATCATTTTCGTTAAACTTATATTCTTTAATTCTATTCCTCTAATTTGTTTTATCCCACTCGAAAATTGAATCGCTAGATTCGTCCAATTCGCATTCCAAAAATATTACAGGAGGGACACCTTTAGGAACACTTATAAAAGGGGACACTAATCTATTTCTTCTGGCTACCTGGAAAGTATTTATGGAATAAAAATTTTGGGACTCATTTTTAGGACTATTAAATATATTATTGTTGATTAAGGAAAAACTATCATCAGACGGAATTTCAGGAAGTGCACAATTTAAAATATTATTTTGTTTTTTAATATGGAAGTAGGAATTACTATTAATAATGTTATTGGGTAAGATTTTCAGTTCTATATTTTTAATAGACACATCATTCAAAAATTTTAAGGGGCAACTAAGAAAACTATCTTTAGGTAAATGATTTCGTGAAGTACTAAAATGGCTATCAACACTGGGTTTAGGTAAAGTGGGGTAAGAAATATCAAGTTTTAAATTATCTGAAGATTTGGGTGAACTTAGTGTAGGGAGAAGGGTAGGTGTTATTAATTCTGAGTCAAATGAGACTTCTGCTACATAAGGAGTATCATTACTTATTTTCTGGAAGAGTGTGGGCTGAATATTATTAACTTTACTAGAGTTGTTATCCTTAGGAGAGGAAAGATCAAAAGGGATCAAAACTAGAGAAACTGGACATAACCCAGCATTATCTAAAGATTCAAATTTAGTAGCTTTAGATGATAAAGGTAAAGAATTTTCATTTGACTTATTTAGAAACTTAGAAGGCTAGTTTGCGGGTAATTTAATTTTGTATTTTTGCTTCTTAGTCAAAATTATTTCAGACGTATTTGAGGATCCAATTGAATCGGATGAGCTGGAAAGATATTCTTCATTTTTCACCTCGGAGTAATTAAAAATTCTTTCCTCTAATTCTTCATCTTTGTATTCATCATTGGTTAAGTCTTCTTCTAACTCCTCTTCTTTTTCTTCTTTTAAATCTTTCACTTTATTAGGACGACTTTTACTTAACGGTTTAGGTGATAATCTTTTAAACTCCATGGGGACGATTATTTCTTGGTCTTCTCAGGTAAAAGTCATTTCAGCAGTGGTTCAGTTAATTTTGCTTGAACCTTAGAAAGCCAATCGTTTCCAATGATGGCATGATATGAACTAGCATCAGTGATGACTACGTCGATGGGAATTTCTATGCTGGCTACAATGAAAGGGAAATCGGAGATTTCTCCTAGAGCTCGTTTGCTTTCCCCATGTACATTTACCATGTTAATGGTGGAGGGTCTTTCAATCTTAATGCCAAGATCATGGAGTAAATGAGAGGTGACAATACTGCTGGAGGACCCGCTGTCAACTATTATAGGTACCTCCACACCAAGGACGGTGGCATCACAATATAAGGCAGTGGATTTACTACTAGTGGCTATATTAATATTAACTTTTGTTTTTCTTTTTGGAACAGTCTTTTTTTTATGCAAGCTTCAAACTAATTCGGTTCTCATAGTGGGAAAGGTGCAAAGAAGCTGTTCTATTTTAATGTTGGCTGGTTTATTATGTAGATCAGTGATAATTGAATATGGAGAACTAAAGAAGAAATCTGTAGCATTTCATCTTCAGGAATCTTCTGCCTAATTACCGGAACGCATTTGGGTTTTGCTGGTAGAACTTTTGGAAGATTAACTGTATTCTTTTCTTTATTTAAATTATCTTTCTCTTTTTCTTTTTCTAGTTTATCTTTTTCTTTTTCTTCTTTATCTTTTTCTCTTTTCTTTTCCAATAGTGACTCTAACGATTCTTCTACTCCAGATTCCAAATCAGCGTTCTCTTCCCAAAAATGTTTTGAAGGCCGAGACTTGATATTATAAAAGGGTAGGTCTTCTTCAAATAGATTAAAAAAAGTGGTTTGATTACTAGTGGCATTTTGGTTATCCAAATTACCTTGGGCCAGAGAAGAATTTAAACTAGCTGCCATAGCTAGTAGGGCTTGCAAAGCCTCCTGAGGTTGCATTTCTGACATGTTACTACATTAGAGTTAACATTAGTATTAATGTTATTATTATGAATAGGATTAAGACTAGCGGGCATAGAAGTATTTTGAAAATTTGTATTAGGGTAAGGGTGTATGATGGGGTTCGGAATTTGACAAGGATTATACGATTGATTTAGGTGAGAATAACCTTGGGGTGTATTAGGTGGGCATTTGGGATATTGGTGGCATGACAATTATGACTAATGTAATCTGCTCTTCTATACTTAAAACAGATTACTTTGTTAAAGTTTTCTGAAGTAGGTGTACATCATTCTTGAAGCTGAGTTAGCATTTTATTAGCGGCGTCAGTTAATTTGTCTATAGCTGTTTCATAAGTGGTAGGTTGAGGAAAAAAACCAGTCAGGGTGCTCGTAGCTACATGAGTGGAATATAGAGCGCTAATAGAAGCCAGAAGGTATGGGAGATTTTGTTTACAAGTAAACTTATAAGCCTTAGCACGATTATAGTCTGCTTGCAACATATTTGGAGTAAATAGAGCAATAGCTAGTACGATGTCAGGTCGTAGCCTATTGAGAAAATGTTGGGCTTTATCCATCTTTGGGTATGGTTGAGCTCCTGTTTCAATTTGTCGAAGCAACTCTTGCATTGCTGTATGATAAGTGTCTACATCCTCACCAACTTGCTGTTTTCGAGAAGCTAGTTGGGCAAACCATTTTTCCTCTAATGTGGGAGTGTGAAATTGGAGTATGAAATGTGGCTGAAAGCTAGTGTTAGGTTGGGCCGGGTTGTTCTAGGTATTAATTGGATTAGATGGTTGCTGAGTAGTTGACTACCACATTGCCACAGGGCCCTTAAGGTGGGGAACAATTACCGGAAGTCAGCGGTTATTACTGACCAAATTCGCTGCAAAGGCTTTTTCTACTTCATCTAACCAAGATACAGAGTCTTGATCCCCTCCACTAAAATTGGGATAAGCTACTAAGTTCAATTCCCAGTTTGGGGTATTATAGTTAACTTGCGGAGCAGATGCAACCTGCATCTGTTGGACCAATAATCCAATTTGAACTGCTAAGTTATCAATAGCATTGGGTGGCTAGGGTGGTTGACCTGGTTTGGCTGTTGAGGTGGTTGAGGCTGCTGCAGGGGATTGACCAGTTGAACAGGATGGGCTGCAGCTCAAGGTTGGGTGGTTGGCATGAATTACCCACGTTAGGTTATACAGGATTACCTGGAGGCGGTCGTTGAGCCATTTATACAATTTAAAGGATAATTTTATTATATAATTTTTATGTTTTAAGAAGTTAAAACTATCTAATTATTTTTAGTTTTAGCAGAATATTCTGTTCGATATTTCACACAAGGGCACCAAATGTAATGGTTGTATTTGGGAGAGTGGGGCGATTATAGACAAATAGTGCCAATTTGAACTCCAACCAATTATGGAATTGAGATTTATATAAATAAAGAAAAGCTATAAATCTGCTTTAAACTAATCACCCTGTAGAGCGAAAGTGAACTTAATATGATTTGTAGTATGATAATAATTAAAATGCATACATAAAAGAAAGAAAGAAGTATGAATTAAAATAATTCAGAAATGATATCACAAAATTAATACTTCTTAGAATGGGCAAAAGGGATATGATTGATTGATGATGATGTTGAATGATAGAACTTTACAAGTACTTAATCTGAAAAGCAAGAATGAATATATTCGTAATCACAGAATGATATCAATAGAAATTGATATTCAAAGCGATTTATGATACAAAATTGATATATGGACACTTTAAAAATAAATTATATCTTCTTTCAGCTATTTATAAAATCAGCTGATGCTGGTGATGCCAAAGGAGGTGGGGTAGTTTACTTTCACGTCTTCAATTAATTCTTTTCTTTAGGCAAAAACACTCCCAAACAAAAATCACATGACCAAGTTCCAAAAGTGTAAAAAGACTGTTACACCAAATTTCAAGTTTTAATAAGCTATATTGAAGTTACAAGTCAATTCAGTCTGTCAAATTGAGTTACGAAAGGGTTTATTAAATTTAAAGTCAAAATTTTCAAATGTTAAGTATTTTACATTACTACTTAATTACTATCATAAAGGACATGAAACTTATCCAACTTTATTAAAATTTAAGGGCTTATATACAGTGTTGTCACTTCCAAAGGGTCTAATGGTATTGGTTGGATATTGGTTTAACACAATAGATTGGACGGTTGGACCAATGTCTAATTGGACATTGGACATGATGTCATATCATGTGATCATAAACCAATCAAAGATCAATTTTTTGATCATCTCAAATGCTTATTAATCAATGATCGATTTTTTTTTTATCGTCTCAAATCTTATGTCAATAAGACATTTTTTGTCTTCCTGTAATGCAAATAAAGCATTTATTCTTTGTCTTGTTACATATTACAAATTTGACATTTTTTTTTCTAGCAAGAGTTGGGTTGTTTTTTTTCTGTTAAATTTGGTCAAAATGAGTTTTCCGGGCAGGCATTCCTTTACCCAGTTTATAGAACAACTCAATGAAAAAGCAAACAAATATTGCATTTGTTGCCTAGAAAAAGAAGCCACTTCCTTTGAAGAAGCGCTTGTGAATAAGTTTGTAAACAAAAAAATCATGTAATTAAGCATCTTTGGTCTTGTTAATATTTTTGGGATGCATACAGTAAAGAAAGAGAGAATAAAATTTTAAGTAGAGAAGAAGATCCACCAGGTCCACCAAATAATCAATTAAATACAGAAGCTAATGAAGAACCAGTGAGTAGCTTAAATGAAACTGATAGTGAACGTATATATATGATTTTGTTGTTGGTCTTCTTTAGTGTTCCTATTGAACCTAGGTTCAAAGTTCATGAACATGTTCAAAGTTTTGAATAAAGAAAAAAGCATATAATC